CCTAAACCCCTACATCCCTAAACCCCAAACCATAAACCCTAAACCCTAAACCCCTAAACCCCAAACCCTAAACCCCTGAACCCTAAACTCTAAAACCATCCGCGAAACCCATCCACAGGACCCCATCCCGAAACAAACGGCAGGCGAAAGCCGAAACGAACGGGAAAGCGAGCTGCCGGCGACCAGAACAGCAAAGACGCAGTCTCCATCCAAGAACCTCGTAAAGGGCATGCCCTAAAACTTACACCCTAAAAACCCCGAAACCCTGAAAACCCTGAAAACCCTGCACCCTAATACCCTAAACCCCAAAACCGTAAAACCTACATACTGCCGGGGCACTTTCCCGGGTCCGTGAAGGTGACCCATGCCGCCAGGCTACTGGAGCCCAAACCCAGGCCAAGGACCTCCGGCCACCGTCACAAAAGCATGGCAACGAAGGAGTAGTACGGTTGATGGTATAAATCCTGCATTCCCCGTAGTAAGGAATATACCATAATTCACATAGTTTAGGGTCCTTAAGGTGATGCAGGGTTTATATCACCAACAGTAGTAACAACAACAGCTGTGGCTTTCGCAGCAGCAACAGCCACGGCGGCAGCAGCAGCAGCAGAAGCAGCCGCAATCGACTGCTGCAGTCGTGGTGGTGGGCATTCGAATGCGAGTTCTGATAGCTGTTGCCACCGTCACTGCCGCACTTACAACAACGACAACAGCTGTGATGAGGAGGTGGAGGATGATGATGATGACGTGGTTCCGGGACAAACAAAACTGCAGGCTCCTTCTGCATCTCAAAACTGCAATGTCCGCAGGACTCCCCACTTTGGGACTAGGGCTTTGGGATTGTCCTCTGGTGTTTCCAACACGCGGAAAAAGGGGGCATTGGAGAAGTGGCATAAAGTTCTCCAGGCCCTCTAAGAGAGGAACTTTGGTTTGACTTGTGGGACAGGGCTTGCGGGCCCTAAACCCTAAACCCTAAACCCTAAACCCTAAACCCTAAACCCTCCCTTCGGACCATCCCTCGAAAATCCGAACAGCACCACTAAGACTCAATCCCTCCGTCTGATGCCCTCTGCCAGAAATCACTAAACCCCAAACCCCAGCCGTCGCACGGCCAACTTCACATCACCCGAATCCTAAATCCCCAACACCCTTAAACATTAAAACCTAAGCCCAAAAACCTTACGCGCCAAATCCCTAAACCCCCGTTAAGCCTGAAATCCTTTAAACCCCTCAATCCACCAAAGACCTTGAACCCAACGACTATGTGCTGGCATGTGGCCACGAACTTCTTTGTGTCAGCTGACAGGTCGGCGGTCCACTCTGCGGTGGTGAAGAAGACAACCTCACTGCGCTGTCTTGCTGCAGCTCGTGTTGTTGCCGCAAAATTGTCAGCTCATGCATATTGCAAGCATATTATATACTTCGCCCGCACGCAATAAGAAACTCCACCCTGAAAATCAATTACATACAACTCAGCGGACGGATGTACAAATTCAACACGACTCCTTGCGCCGAGCCACCACAAAGGATCAATGGAGGGGTGTTACGGGTTAAGATGGGTTGAGGCTTCAAGCTTACAAGGCTAAGGGTTTTAGGGGTTTCGGGTTCAACCTTTGAGGTCTCGTAGAAGGGTTTTGTAAGGATTGTAATGGGGACACGAAATGTTTAGCCAAGTGATCACCATATTCGCCTACGACAAGACTACTATATCAGTCGAACATCAGATTGTATAAGTGCGGACTCGCGAGTACCTTTGCAATCTAGCGGCTGTGTACTTTAAACCTCCCCAAATACCGAAGTTTTTTCCATCCTACATGCATTGTCTGGAATTCAGGCACTCACCCAGCCCTGCAAGCAAGCTTTACGTAGTCTTCAAGTCTCTCCAGGGCCCGCACCTGGGCCCTGCAGCCCTAATGCACACACACGCCCTCGTTACGGTAGACTGAAACTGGTACTTTCCCCAGAAGAGTACACTAGCTAACTAGCTACGGTGTTCTTGTGACCTGACGAGTTGCTCTCAACGCGCTGCAAATGACTGTATGCAGGCTTGCGGAGACTGCATGAGCCTGCAGTCGAGAAGCAACAACGCCCATGATCAGCAAGGTGGCATAGGCCAGCTTCGCCCAGAGCTTGAATCTGTCCGCCTTCTCATCAACCCTAAACCCCAAACCCTAAAGCCAAAGCCCACAGACCCTAACTAAACCCTAAGCCCCAAGCCCGAAGCCCATAAACCCTAAACCCTAAACCCTAAACCCTAAATCCCCTAAACCCTAAACCCTAAGCCCTAAACCCTAAACCCCAAGCCACCCCAAACCCCAGGTACCAGCCCCAGCCTTCTCATCGAAGAGATCCGCTAGAGTCCAGGCACAGCCTATACTGAACTTAGACCCCTAGCAAAAATTATAATTTTAGCTGCTTCTTAGGGTTTATAATAACCAAAGATTAAAAATTATTTCTAAGTACCCCTAAGCAGCGCAGGAGAAGAAGAGCTTCGAGGCTACTGCTGTCGGGCAAGCGCTCCGACCGGGAAAGCTTCTGGATGAGATGCTTCCTGTGTGTTTAGGGTGTGGGGTTTAGGGTTTAGGGTTTAGGGTTTAGGGTTTGGGGTTTAGCGTTTAGGGCTGTTTAGGGTTTGGGGTTTAGAGTTTAGGGTTTAGGGTTTGGGGTTTAGGGTTTAGGGTTCAGGGTTTAGGGTTTAGGGCCGTTTAGGGTTTGGGGTTCAGGGCTGGGCTCGTCAATACCCACTTTCGTATGAGGGTGCCCTTTGTCCTATGGCTCAGTTTGAATAGTAGACCCCCAAAAAGACAAAGAGTAAAAGGGTACCACTGGGTCACCCAGCTTCAGTCCCCGATAGTCGCTGAGGCTGCAGCTGTATACGTGACTGGTCTTGAGGATGTCATACACGGCGAGCCACTTCTTCTTGTCGCCCATCAGCCGCGCCGCACCCCATTTCTTCTCGTCCTGAGGTTTAGCCAAATAGCCACATTCAGAAATACTTGGATTACTCCAAATAAAGTCCTTCTAAGCACTTCGAAGCATCGTAGATTCTGTCCGCCCGCAACCACTTGCGTAGATGAGCTAGCAGGGAGCGCTGCGCTTCACTGACGGTGACGCCCGTCTGTTCCAAGTCTCTGTTCAGCTCAAACTTAAAGAATCCTCGGTCTAGGATTTCGGGTTTAGGGTTTTAGGGTTTAGGGTTTAGGGTTTAGGATTTCGGGTTTAGGGCCGTTGGGGGTTTTAGGGTTTGGGGTTTAGGGATTGGGGTCGGCGATTATGTCTACATATGCTGCTGCTTCTATACTACTTGTCTTTCCCCGCTGCCCTCTTGTAATCCATGAGTCTTGGCCATGTTCACGACGTCTGTGACTACGATGAGTAAAACTGCCACCCATGCTCACCACCAGGGTTTTGTTCAGTTCAGGAGTTGACTTGGTGCCCAGATCCCCAAAACCCCTAAAACCCCCAGGTAACCCTTCTTGCAAACCTTATAGCGGGAAACCTTAAACACCAAACTTGTCACCCCCCTAAACTCTAAACCCTAAACCCGAAATCGGCCCTAAACCCTAAACCCCTAAACCCTAAACCCTACACCCTAAACCCTGAACCCTAAACCCTAAACCCTAAACCCTAAACCTCCAGGCCCCACCAGAATCCACCGAGATGCCAGTATCCCTTAATTAAGGAATATACCTTAAATTATAGTAGGATCCCTAATATGATTTAAAGTATATTCCTTAATTAAGGGGTATTGGAGTCTCTGGGTCCACCGAGATGCCAGTCGGCAGGAACTCGTTGCGGGGCCTGGCTCCGGCAAGACGCACTCGTCCCGGGCAAGGGTTGAGGGTTCAGGCTTCAGGGTTTAGGGTTTAGGGTTTTGGGTTTAGGGTTTGGGTTTTATTTTTAAAGGGCCTTTTTGGATGGCCGGCATACAGTCGGCTCCAACCCAATTTGGGCAGGCAGTTTATGCCGGGTTTATGGTTTAGGGTTTAGGGTTTAGGGCTGAGGGCTGAGGGCTGAGGGCTTAGGGTTGATATAGGAGCTTTAATCTTTAATCATTAGAACAAGGCTTTCGGGCCCATTGTACTATATTTTAAATAAGGAACCCCCAAAATAGTACAGGTAATTCTTTAGGCCCCTATAATAGGGTTTAGGGTTTAGGATGTGAAGTCTATTTCTCATATTTTGTCGATCTGGGGGAGCTTCCGCGGGTGCCACTCGGGTTTAGGAACTCGGATTCAAAATCTGCAAACTCGGACGTAGGAGTTAGGAACCGCCAAAGGACAGAATGAGAAGACGGCATTAGTAAGGCTTATGAGTGTTGAGGAGTGCTTGATACGCAAGAACAAGTAGACTGGTGTGTCGGGATTTATGTCACCATCATGGTACATGGCTATG